GCAGCGACAGGCACCCCCCTCCCCCCCACCTCAGCTGGGCAGCACTTGCCCCAGCCCCTCCCTCACTGCAGGGGCATTGATTTCCTCCCTCATGCCTCTTCCCTCCCATCATAAGGGACTTACCAGCTGGAGGCAGCTGTGTTGAGTGTCATAAAGGAACCAATCCCCCTTTTCATTGGCACGTACACCCTCTGGAAGCACCAGCTGCGAAACTGAAAGTGCCGGTGAAAGTGTACTTTTGGTTTTGCTGCTGGCTCGGTAATTGGTCACAAGGGGACCCTCTCCCATGGGTGACTGGCCATGGGGGGACCCCCCCAGACTCGGGAGGCACCAGTCACCCATGCCCTCTTTACAACATTGTTCCTATGGGAAAATTGGTTCTGACTTAAAACATTTCGACTTAAGGCGCAGTTTTCAGGGACCAATATATTCAACTCATTCCAAATTTTGTGTTGCTTTTTTTCTCAACACCACTCAACTGTCATTGAAGAAGTATTTAGAGTCTAGAACAGTGATGTTCAACCTGTGGCCTGCAGACCCCTGGGGGTCCACGAAAGATGACTATGATCAAGTAAAAGTATGTGAATACCTACAGTTACAATTCAAAGGGGTCTGCACTCACTTTCAAAAAATTTTAGGGGCCCACAAATGAAAAGATTGAAAGCCACTGGTCTAGACCAATGGTTTTCAAGCTTTTTAGGCTCTAGGCACCGCTCAACAAATGTAAATTCTTAGCTTTCACAGTTTTTTCACTACAGAAAAATAATACCGCAAATTCTTCTGTTGCAAAGAACTCAGAAATGCCACATGTCAGAATGTTTTTAACATCATGGGTTCCTATTTGAAATCTCTGGGTTTATCTTATAAATCATGTTTGCACACCTACTCTGCTAATATTGCAGAGAACCCTGCAGCACCTTTGAAAGTTTGCCCCTGGTTGAGAATCACTGGCCTAGACCTTTTTCTATGTGTAACAGAAACATCTATTTAACATCTCTTAATATCTACTAATAAAGTTCAATTTGTTTTGCCAGAATTATTATGTTTTTCTACTTTTGAACAAAATA